TACACGCTCGCAGTTCCGTTTTCTGAACCTGTGCACTTAGGATGTATTAGAAATATTGATATATATTTCCAGGTACTTATCTTTTAACAATTATTCTTTTCGATTGAGTTCATTTATTTTCTGTACTTTTAGGGATCCATTTGTTACTCTTTTATTATTCAAGAATCAACTATCCTCTGTTTAAGAAGAATTTCTGGATGAATTACTTCATGAAATCAGTCCACATGTGTACAATATATCTCTTGCTTCAGAAGGTTTCTAAGGAATGTTAAGTTCAGGGCCTCAAAAATTTAAATTCCTCTATAAAAATAAATCGATTTCATCCAATTGTTTTGCACCTTAATGATTCGTCATTGGTAGATCGTTGCACCGAAACGGAAAGAAAATTACTCTCGGAAGTGTCCGTAAATTTTTCTCGTTGCGCAAGTTCCGCGAAGTCGCGATTCAGCTGAAAAATCATCAAGCGCGTAGGACAATTATCGTTATGAATAATACCGCGATATTAGCATTGCTTCCTACGTTGCAATTACGTTTGTGCTCGATTTCGAAACGTCGAACAACACTTTTCTCTATTTGGCACAACTTGCTCACAAACGGAGCGAATCGAATCTGCATAGCCGCGAAAAATGTGCATCTGGCTGCTGTTACGGCGAGAGGTTAACTCTATACCTTCCACCGTGATTGTTATCAGAACCATCTGCTGGTTGATAAATTGTCAGACACCCGATGGAGTTCAGTTGCGTTCACCTCGATCCCGAAACAAGCAACTTTATTCAGATCACCACGGTAGAATGAATGAGTTTTATTTATAAGGGTGCGAGGTCATAAAACTTAACTATAATGTCTGATGTATCGGTTTCCTATTTGTTCATTCTTTACATTCACTTAATTCTTGTTTTACAATAATTTGCATTTGCTTAAATACTTCTCTCTGTAATTCTTTCATTAGGAATGTCAATAGTCTGTTGGGGATCCTTTTAAATTATTACTAAATTTCAATTGATCGTCTCACATTTTTTCCTCTCTCTTAAATATATTGTGAATTTTTACAATATTTATTATATAACAAATAAATAATGTGAATCTTGATATACTGTGTTGAATCATTTCAAATAGAGAATGATTTAAACGATTCTGATTTTTCATTTCGTCGTTATATTAATAAATTATATTAACATATTAATTATATATTAATAAAGAATATTAATGAATTAGGTTAATAAATAAGTTTTACATTCTTGGAATATTTCTTATGTAACGAATAAATTGTGTGAGTTTCGATCTATTCTTCTACATAATTTCAGAAAGAGTATGATTTAGATATTTATGATTCTTCATTTCTGTATTATATTGGGCAATTTTTCTTTTACTCTAAACGCAACTAATATTATATATACAATAATTAAAATATACTATATGAATTGATATATTAAAAAAAAGACATTGGGCTAAATTGTCTACTCAAGCATAAATTACAGTGTCCCTCGCAGAATGTAAACCAACTAAAGGACTAATTAACAAAGAAATTCTATCGAACGATTAATCAACTCTAAAATTTATTAAACTTTGGCTACAGTATACACCATAGCATGATCCCTGGTCAATATTTAAACATTAAAACCATACTTTTTATCTACCAAGAAATCGACGAATGAAGCTTTCACAGAATCGCATGTTACTCGAAACGTTTCGCAGCAATTTTCTTTTCATAAATCGATGAACTGCGAGGAACTGCACCACTCTAGACGAAATCAGGCGTGAATAGGATGCAGTTGGTATACGATTGAACGTGCATCTACGCGAAAGCGTGGCCACATTTATTGAAACGCATTTATCTCTTTATCAATACCCTCTAATAGAAATCTTCTTTCACGGTCCAGTGAAAACGTCAACGATAGTTCTGTCGCTGCTCTTTGAACGCGTTTTCCTCGTTAATGCTCGTAGACGAGCAAGAAAGCATCGCGACTATCGAATCCAGGCGCTTTCGATTCGTTCTAGTCGATCTCGAATTCACGGGGCAAAAAGTCCGATCGTTACCGTCGCGATGCTTGTAAAATATCAAATGATGGATGAGTTGATTCGTATTTATTCGACGATTAATACAATCTAAACGATATAACAAATTACATATAACATTGTAATGAAAGTAATTAAAATGATATACTTATTTAATACGATTGAATTCAAATATGTTAAATACATACATGGACATAATTAAAATAAAATAATATTATTATTTAATATAATTTAACGTGAATATTTCCAATACAAAAATAAATACAATTATTATAAAATGATATCATTGTTTAATATTATTAAATATACAAGTAAATATAAATAAAATGAAATAATGTGATTAAAAATGTAACGTGCTAATTTTTAAATAACAAAAGACGCCTGTCAGCATAATTGGTCGTAAGTACTCAAACGACATAATCTTTCAAATTTAATTGTAATCAATAACATAGGTATTCAAAAATATAAGTATTTCTTCTGTAGCAGTCATTTTGTTCAAAACTACAATTCTAAGATTTCTTTCAGAGAATCCTCTATGTTCTTCGCTATCATACATATTATTAAGCATATACTACAGTAAACTGATAGAAATTAACGATGAAATAATGATCCGAATGGAACGTTAAACATTCCTTTCCTTACCAGGAAATTTCCATTCCCACAATATCATAAAACACATACCCTATACATTTGAATAAATTTCTCAATGGATCTTTTCTCACAGGATAAATTTAGCTGAATCAGCATTTTGCTCTCTTACACAATTACTTCTTGGGTTTCATCTGCAACATCTACAGTATCCTCCTCGTTAATGCTTCTCCTTAGGGAAAAAGACAACGTGAACTATCGATTTCAGGCGCTTTCGATTCGTTCCACTCGATCTGAATTCAGAGAGGACAAAAATCTGGCAAAAACGGGTTCCCCGATCTTGGGAAACTCCGCGGAGACGTTATTTTGCAGCGTTATTCACAGTAGTTAGCTCGGCGAGGCGAGGCGTGCTTAAAGGCTGCTCGAGTTCGGCTGCATGCTTGACTAGGTAACGTGACGTGAAACACCGACTTTTACTTTCAGCGTCGATTCGACGTGTGTCCGAGGCAGATAAGGATAAACGAAACTGGAACGCCAAGGCGCACCGTGGCGAACGGAGTCTTGGTCCAATTTGAACAATCCTCGGGTAAACACGGCCCTTCTGACCTTCTCGCGGGCTCCATTGCCGCGCAGGAACCGGTAAACGGAAGAAATTTTCTTCGACGTCGTGTTATTATATCGGGGAAGGGTATTACTACTTTCGTACAATAGTTTTAATAATGGCACGTCGATTAGCACACGGATCACTCATAATTAATTTCCACACTTGATGAATGCCAACGCCAAATATTAAATTACTTCCCACTCGTCCTAAAACAAACATTTAATCCTTTGTAGTCCGACTTTCCCGATTTCGATACGTTTATGTCGAGTCTCCCTCGACATAGGACCGCGAGGATTTAACCTCGCAGAAATTTCCACGAGCATCGATCTGTGTGCTAATCAACGTGCTACTAATAAAACCATTGTACCAGGGTCGTAATACCCTTCCCGGTATGCACGTGGAAATTTTATAAATATCATCAATACATAAATATCATGAATAGGAAATGCTAGATAGTTCAAACTATGCTCGTTTTTATCTGTGCTTATATAGATTCGAGGAAAGCGGATGATCTCCGTTCGTTATGTATAGGTCACACTTCCTGTAAACAATTACAGCAGACTCTTAGCGCAAACTACTCTCGTTTTCTCGTTCTGTTTGATCGACATTGTAATTAGAGCATTAGAACTCTTAATTCCGTTACACCTATCGCTGGAGGTGCAAGTGCTTCCTTAGTGTCGTTACGTGATAGAACTTTGCACGCGCGTCACACAAGTTCCTTCCGTTCTTGTTCTAATTGCATCCGATCAGTGCTTCAGCGTAGGCTCTCTGTGAAGTCGCAGGCGTATCTCGAAAGATGACTCTGGGCGTTTTCATTAATGCTTGCGAAATGCTATTGACTTCTATATCTATTTGACTTCTGTTATGAATTAGAAAACGATGCAAGTTTACTTTAGGATTCGTTATGGAAGTAGGTGACGAGAGTCGTTGCGTTTAGTTGCATCTTAAGTTGTGCTGCTTGCATTGATTAACCTAGTATTCGAGAACTGGGGAAAATTTCATTTAAATAAAGGCAGATTATGTATGAGATGCTGCATTATCTATTACTCGTTCCATTTACTCATGTTGCTTGATTAGAAAATTGAGGATGGATGAGTAGACACATATCTATATGTTTGTTTTTATATAAAAATTATCGCTAATTACGATCATAATATCTTTTAGAATTAAAAGATATACTATGTTAAAGTGAGACAGCACATTTGTATGTCATAATCGATTTATAGATAGAGATTGCTTTAGTTTGTATGCAATATACTGTGTATTCGATTAAAGCAAAAAAAATTCGTCTCTCAAGAAGTTAAAAAATAAAATGATATAACTGAACATCGATTTTGAGAATGTTGACCAACTGTTTATATTAAATGACATCATACATATAAGAATTTAACAAATACAATTATTACAATTGAACAACAGAAATTCATTTTATTTTAATGTAGGTTAATATTATATTTGTAGTAATGTTGTAGATCTTAAAGTAATGTGTTCTTAATTAAACAATACTTGAGTAAATTTATACAATATATATATATATGTTACATTTATTTACTATGTTGTATAATAAATATGCACTAATTACCTATAAGTTCTACTAAAATAAAATATTTATTGCATCATGTATTATACATTTCAACCATGTTTGATTTATTTCTGCTAACCACTGAGTAATACTAATATTAAACAATTATTTACACTTGCATAAAAATCAATTCACTGTACCTGTCCGACAAAAATAATTATTCCGTTACTCGAAACAACAATCTGACGTCCATATTTTGCTAAATTTCAGGTCGACGACCGCAACGCTCACAGTCCTAGAGATCGAGGCACTCAGAGGTTCAACACTAAATCTCTGGAAGATGCAACAACCACGTCGAGCTCGTTACCATCGAGAAGCAAGGGGGACAGATCATCGCAATCAAACAAGTCTTCGTACACCGAAAGGCGCAACGAAGGGACAGCTCCAAAGCCTGCCATCAACTCGGAATCAAAATTCGGATCTAGCAACCGTTCGAACGCGAGAATGACGAAGACGATCGACCGAAGTGGCTCGTCTGGTGTAGCCGAAGCTACGAACAATTCGAGAAGATCTTTTTCAGGAAAGAATACCGAAGAAAGCGAGAGATCAGATCCGACGATCCGACGGAGGAGCGGGAAGAGCTACTCCCCGGAGAACAGCGAAGGGAGAAGATCGAAAGACGAGCAAAGAAAAACGTTCGCCAGGCGTTTCGACAGTTCGGATGTCACCGAGAGACTGGACAACAGAGGACCATCGGTGTTCAGCGCAACCACGGAATCATCGAGGTCCAGAACTGGAAGGAAGATTCAAACGACTTATGCGCGGAAAGATGCCAAGTCTCAGTTACCCATCAGAAGGCATAATAACAAAAAGCACGCGGACCAAGGGGCGACTATGGATTCTTTCAAACGAGCCGAAGGGAGGAGTAGATCGACGACAGAGAGGGTTGAGCGGAGCACTCGATCCAGCAGGTCCAAAGTGAGCAACAGAGAGAACAATACTATCAGTCGCAAGGCTCAAGATACCCTTCTGTCGGAATCAGAGAGTGTTAGAGTCGATATTCCCTTGGCAGTGGAAGCCACGGACAATCCAGTAAACGATGTGACCGTAGGTGTAACGGGATTCCCTCAGAGACAGTTCTCCACAGAGATCAACAGGAGGTCCGATAGCAAGGATTCATCGAGATCTAACGCAAGGTCTAAGGGTCGTGGACGATCTAGCGACTCTGACTCTGCCAGGAACAGCTCTCGAAGAGGATCTTCAAGATTCAACGAGTACACGACTACTGAAGCGAGCGAGCAGACTGTTGGCTCGAGAAGAAGTAGTGCTTCCAGAGATAGATCGAGGGGTTCTGCGAATGAATCGCGATCAAGATCCAGGGGGAGAAATTTGGATAGCATTGTCAAGCCCACTACAGCGACGTTTGAGCGTGATATCAAGCGTAAGACCTCTGGAGACAGGAATTCTCCTGAGAGGAGGTCGAGGATTGCTGAGGCTAACTCTAGAACTGTCGAAGGTCGTGGGCAGGATCAGGATGTTCGTGGAAGGTCTAGGAATAGATCCAGAGTGGATGCTACTACGTCTACTGCACTTGGTAAATAGAATGTTTGTTTGGTTTTAAAGGGTATCTTTTTCGGTTTTGAGTAGTATCTGAATAGGTCAGCAAAGTTGTTTCATTATATTTTGAGTTGTATTTTGATTCTTTTGGTATTTATTTTTTGTATTATATTATATTTTTATTTTCATTTTTATTATAGTTATATTATATAAAAATATTGTTTTGCTCGTGATATTATTAACGCTTTGATTGCTAGAGTAGTAATCGTAAAAATTCCAACGAGACAAGAATTTTGTTTTTATATAATTATAAATGATATAATCTACCATCCATAATTACTTATTTTTGTGGCCTCTTTGGAATGCATCAATCCTCTCCAGAATTATTTTCTTTAACACCTTACCTTTAGAATTAATTTATTTAATGTCTCAATGAAAATTCTTGTCACCCATATGTGGGTGACGTGGAGGCCAATGTGTTAATGAGCGAGGTAGAAATGTAAAATTTTGTTACTGTTACGTTAACTATGTATTACTTAATAAGTGATAGTATTTTATGTTAATTATAATAGCTTTATGGTCTACTTTAAAATTAACAAGATAATTAACTATATAAAGTATATTATACATTCACTATTTGAAAGTTGAAGGATATTTTTAGTGTTGTTTGGTGTAAAATTATCTGCCAACTATGCCATTGTGCATCTGTAAATACTTTTCAAGTTCTTTATTTTTACACTGTTCTAAAATCGTAATGTATAAAATTCTCTGTCATAGTTTAATAGAAATTACAGGTGAACGTCAGTTTGAATTTTGGTATATGTTAAAAGTAATTCATTTCTGAAAAGGTTACAAACTAAACATTCCTGATTTTATACTTCACTTGTCCTTGCATGAAATTAGAAAAAATTAAATAGGATTCATCAATTTATAATCTCTTCAGGAATGTGAATGAATAAAAATAAATAATTGAATTCCAATATCATCTTTTATCATCGAAGACCTCAGTTATTGAATTCAGAAAAATTCTTGATCATTAAGTTCTATTATAGATTAATAAAGAAGGTACAGATCCCCCAAGCATACACTACATGTAGCAGAGGATATAATACTCCCAATCATATAATACAAACTGAATAACACTTCCATTGGACATTAATTCTAATTATCCTCCTAATTCAGTACCAGAAGTCACTACAATTGCTGCATCAGACACAACAGCCTTCATCGACGTCGCGTCTACTTCCACCGAATCCGAAATCACCACCATAAAACCTCTACCTTCGACTACAACCACAGTGTCCTCGAGAATAGTAGCAACAACGCCAAGACCGTCTTTGGCTACCACAGTGGCACACGAAGGACGCAACCGACGAAGAGGTAGAGGTAATCAAGGAGGGAATCAAGGCAGAACGGAGCAGAAGGAAGATTTCTTCAATCACGGACTAGGGTTCAGAGGTCGGAAGCCTCTGCCCGAGGTGTCACCGTACCTAAGCGGTACAAAGAAACCTGCCCTGTCGCAAAACGATTCCCAATCGTCTGGAAATCCGGGTTGGACGCTCAGAAGGCGACCAGATCACTCGAACAGTTCGGAAGCTCCTCCTAAGACGGCGATTCCCTCGGCGAGAGATCAAACGAACGAAGTGATACCACCGAACGAGCAATCCACGACCACCGAAACTACAACGACGGTAGAAAGTTCGTCGACTACCACGAGAAGAGGGTTCAAGAAGCTACAGACAAACACGGAAGAAAGTACAACAGTTGCTAGTACAACGATGAAGGGTTACAGAAGGGGTAATAAGACCTATGATAAAAATCGGACTCCAGGAGCTGGAAAAGTGGCAGAGGACAACCAGGATAGCGACAATTATCCGCCTGACTTCAAAGCAAGATTGTCCCAGTTGGTAAGTTTTAAATTGTTGGATTTAAAGTAATATGTATTTGAAATATGTATGATGTATTTGAAAATATTTGTGTATTCGTAATAGCCTGTAGGAACAGTTTTGAATGTTTCGGACTCTATTTGTTGAGTCTTTTTCAAAAACATGGTTCGTTTGTGGGTGCCTCATAATACGTTAATAAATTTACGTGTGATTTCAGAGAAATGGCATGATATACCTGTGATTTAAGATATCAGGGTGAATCTAGAGTTTTTCTCGACTTTTTTTTATATTTGTTCTATGAATTTTTAATCTAAATAAACGTGTACGTTTCATTTTATATGTACATATAATGAGAACACAACACAATACAACGTAATGTGATATGAAACATCAGAACACGTGAAACAACATAACTCATCATAATACATACAGCATCAAATATTATGATTAGATTGAGCATTTCATGCATTTATGGTACAAGCCAACATAATAAATACACGCTAATAAATATTACTATAATAATTGTAGAATATATTCGAAATATATATTATGTATATTTTTTATATGTTTTTCATATTACTGTACACCAAAAATGCATAAAATTCGCAGTAAAAATCATAACATACCACAAGATAACACAATATAATATAGTTGAATAAAACATAAAAAACAGGACATAACATAATACAGTATAATACGCCATAACACAATGTATTATATGTATATACCAGCACATCATTTTGTAGCTTTTCAATTGCTTTTTCATTTTGTGTCTTTTTTATATTATTTGTATTACATAAAATGAAAGAGCAATTGGAAAGCTACTAAATGATGTGCTGGTATATATCATATGTTGTGTCATGATGTATTATGTTGAATTTTGTTGTCTTATGTTGTCTGTTTATGTTATATATATATATCACTGAATTGAGGACATACAATTACAAAGTATATTCTCTTAATTGTATAATATTCTATAAATTCAATATACGACCATGCCTTTTCTCTGAAATAATTCTATCCCTAAATATATCGACACTTGTCGATAAAATCTTAATTGAAGTACTTTTACGATCACTAACCGAGAAGTATGCTTTCAGAAGAGTACGAACACGAAAATACCAGCCCTGAAAACTACCTCTAGAACACCTTTGGAGGTAAGAATCCCGAGCGCTCGTCAAACTCCGCTTGCAACGTTCGAATAAGTTTCTCTATCTATAAATTAATGACTGTAACATCTCTATGCTTCTATTCTAGTTCAACAAACCTCTGGCTTTACATTTGAATGGTACTTAATACGTAGACGTAACCATTGACGTTGTCGACACCGTTGTTGTAAATTTGTTTAAAATGATACAGTTAACAATCGAACGACGTACACAACGCGACTGGAATGAACGTCTATACACATATACTGCTAACACCAAACAATTTAATCAGCATGCCACGTAACAAACCATACACTTGCAATTTACCCTTTAAAGTTGTTCTGTAATGGCCCCGAAAGAGACTGGGAGTCATTTCTATCGTTCAAGTACATTCGGTAGTTTTGTAATTGTTGAAGTCGTTGGTATTCGTGTAGGATCAGCTGGGGAACGTCTATGGTCGACGTTCGAGGACCAAGTTGAAGACGTTTGCGCTCGATGACCTCGATACTGCAGCTTCCGAGAATATTTTGACCGATCAAAGATTAATCGTGAACCCCTTAACGTTGATTAATGGCACAGGATTGCGACGCGTAAGAGTACAGACAATCTTTGTAACGCGTGTTCGCTTGTTTCTACCTTTCCCTCCATCCGACGCGTAGATTTAGCTATCTACGAGCTTTTAAAAAGCCTCGAATGTCACATTGTTCGGCTTTTAGAGGCTTTCAATCACGTTCTCCTCCAACAGTTTTGAAGTGCTTGGCCATCGTGTACCTATCATTGGTAAATTGAAACTTCCGATGAGTCTTTTTTTGATCGAATGGAAGTCGATTAAATTATTTTCGGGCGTATTAAGGGAAGGGATAGACGTTATCATGATAGCAGATATTATGGTATGTTATGTTATATTATTAATACCTTCAGGATTGAAATATTATTTCTTTCTTTAAAAGGCTAGAGACGGAAATGAGATCAGAGTTCATCTTGAATAGTGATCAGGGTAAATTATTGAAATTAATTGTTAGAATATTGTTTGTATAAATAGTCAAACAGCGTAAAAAACTCGTGAAACAATGTTTCTTCTTATCTCTGAAAGGTTAATGATATAATAGAGTTCAGAATTCACTTTGACAGTATAATTTGTAGAAAATTATCAAATTGAGTCAAAGATTGTATCTTACTATCAAACTATTTTACTGTATAATTATACAGTAATAATTTCGTGTTTCAAAGGTTAACGATTCAGAAGAGATGAGAATTCATCTCAAATTAAGATCAGAGTAAAATATTGGAATTAATTGTTGAATTATTATTAAACTGCATAAGGGACCCTCATTTATAAATCGTAATAGTAATTATTTATCACGACAGTAAATACTGTATATAAAAAGTATCACATCCTGCAAGAATTTCTTTCTTTTGAAATATTAGAGATGCAAAGGAGGTAAAAATTTATCTCAAATTAAGTTCTGTATGAGATATTGGAATTAATTGTTGAAATATTCTTAAATTGGGTGAAGGATTGTAATTTACGAATCGTAATGGTAATTGTTGCTTTGGCATCATTGACGACCACTCGAGACTGGGCAATGATGCGCGATTAACAAACAAAGAAAAAAAGCGAAGAAAACAAAAAGCTTTTTTGTGGTGATTGGTGGATTGTGAAATAGACGTTTATTAAACGATCCGAAGAATCGAGTGCTTACGTACGATTCGAGATCTGGGTTATGTCATCGTGATCAACAGCTTCGATGATATCGTCGACCTCCACATAAGACTGGATCGAACGGTATCCTAACACGAGGAGCGACGAATCCTCGACAAGGAGTTCTCTCAAGGTCCATAAACTGAATTAGGATCTACGCGAAATTTTCCGGAGTCTTTTCGGTGAAACTCTACGCGTTCGTAGAACGTTTCGTTAATCGCGGGAGTCGGTTTGTTTCATTTATCGAAAAGTCCCAGTTACGGGCTCACGCGTAAGACGTAGTTTGCAAACTGGTTTTTGGTTCGCGTTCGATTGCTTTTGTTTTGGAATCTTACGCGGAGAAAGTGAAGGTTCGTTTGACCTACCTGAACGTAATATGCTCTGATTTATTCTCGTTGAGCAACTAAATCGTTTCGATAAAGGGATTTGCGAATATTATGAGCCTTCGAAGAAAATTTCTAAATAAATAGAGGGCGTTAGGGATATTTAACTCTTTTATTCCTACTGCAGCTATGTGGCATTTAAAATAATTAAATGACATTTATATATCTGTGAATTTGGGATAGATTCTTTATGATTTGTTGAAATTAAAGTGGCATATATTTTTATATAGAAATGTCACGATAAAGTAGGATATTTTGCGTTTAAGAAAATTCATGGTAAAACATGGTAAATGCATTGTTAGTAGTCGTTTAGGTGTCGTTAGAGTACAGTGACAGGTGTTACTGAAAATTCAATAAAAATTTGGGAAAATACGTAATTCTTGAAATATTTTATATGGTTTTATTGACCAAGGGTGCGAGAAAAGGGTTTCCATCGCATACAAATATTTTTCGATTTATTTTCAAATTAAAAATTTATATTTTCAAGCTTTTTTCTTACATTTACGTTACCTAAAAATTGATTGTCATGTTAGACAACCTCAGTGAAAGAAAAGAATCCAAACTTCAAGGGGTCAAAAATATAATGAAATCTCTTTAGAATATAGTCTTTCAAAAGGAGCTCTAGAATTTTAATTTTCAATCAAACAAATGATTTTTAATAAAACATACATGATTACAACATGATTACAAATAAAGTTTAATTCAATTATCAAACTTTCTTATTTACAAATAAGACTTATTTATTCATTCAATAATTTACTTGATTATTAAATTAATTATTAAACCGTGAGCACATTGACAGGCAAGACATAATCGTTTCACAAGCGTTTCCACAGTAACAATTTATCTTTAAAATCTTTCATTTAGTATTTAACAGCCACTAGAACGCAACCAAATATATGTATATTTTTTAATAATATGAGAATGAAAGAGTTGAGTATCTATAATGAGAGGGTAACACAGATGGATAAGGAGAAGGTCTTGAAATTACTTTCAATCGATCTCCTCCGTACTGTTCCGCATTCTAGAATAAAATGATAAAAGCCTAATAGTTCGATCATTCTGATCAAGATTTTTCAAAAGGAAAGATAGGAGCAGGAGAGTTCGACGGGATGGAAAGGAAATGAAAGGAAAAGGAAAGGTGATTTTTCACAGATTGGATGGATACTCTCGTGGGAGGATACACTTTATCTCTGTTCCAAATTACGTAGAAATGGCTTTCCGCCTTGTAATTACGTCGAGATTGGTTCTCTGCAGGAATCTTTTTCTTCTTGGATATATAGATTATGAGCGAGGGTGTAAGGCGAAAAAATCGATGACATAGGGTCGTTATTAAATCATCTAGTAAGTTCCTTCCGATTTTTACGAATGAAATTTCTTCACTACATAATAACACGTTTTTCGTTTTTATTAACAGATGCTGTTACCTGAATGATTATTAATTCGTACACATTGCGATGGAAACGTGACAAACACTAATTAGATTGGAATTATATTAGAATTATTGATGAATTTATAGATTGTAAATAAAATTAATAATTTTATTAGATTCTTTCAAACCATTGTAAGTAATATACAATTATTACTACAATTTCTATAATTATTAAAATATTCTATAATAAAATTATTACAATTTCTAAGAAGTGGAACATTATCTTATACGTGGATTAATTATCAAATATCATTCTGATCGCACGTTTATTAATAGTTTGTATAAAGAAATAATAAATATCTTCGACCTTAAAGGTTTGTGTCTTCGACAGATTTTATAAGGATTATTAAGGGCTGAAAATAGTCTTTTCTGATTAATACTAATAAGTATGTTAATTTTTTTATCTAAATACAAGTATAAATTCTCTTATTATTTTAATAATTCATATTATTATTTGTTTTCTATTAATTGCATCTTATTTTTTTCAAGCTTTAACAATGAAGCTGTGATAAAGTATTTGCATACTTTATTAATTCTAGAAGAATTAATTTAGTGGATTTGTATCCTTTATATACATTTAAAATTGATGATCATAATTGGAAGGAGCATATTCTTTAACTTGTAGAATATAGAATATAGATAAATGTCGTAGTTGAGAATTATTATTTCATTCATCAATATTAGTAAATACAAATTAAGGAACTATATGGTACGACAAAAGCATATGTTTAAATATATAAGTATACATCTTAAACAATTTATACAAATATTCGCGATTAATTTTAATATCACGATAAGGACCTATGTATAATTAAAAAATTCCAATAATACAATAAAGTTATTAGAACTCTGCAAATTGTATCGTCATTGGAATCGTTGTTAAATACGTGCATATTTAAACGTATTGCTATGTCGTAATGCATGAATCTCTGATTTGGATTTACCCATTAGAAGAATTTACAATCGAATTCTCGAATTATTCCCAAAAGCAGGATGTCAATTTCTTCAACGCGAACATTTTCATTCCTCTAGAAGTTTTCGTTGCTCTCGTACCAGATATGATTGCAACTATATTCCCGATCAAAGCCACAGATTTAGAAGGCGTTTTCGTTAAGGTCGTATCTGAAAATGCATTACGTATTCCGCCCATGGATACAAGCACGAACGCTATGCGACGTGAAATCCGTAAAACTGGTTTCCTTTCGTGCTGGAATCGATTTGCCACAAAGTAGAACGAAAATAAAGAAGTTCTCACAGTTCTCTCTATAAAATTTAATTATGTCACCTCTTCACCGCAGCTAATCGCTTGATCGATGCTTGAAAGACTGTCCAATAAGATGAACACGATATTTTTTTCGATGTGTAACTTATAACTAAACTAATGTCCAAGTTTGTTTAGAAGTGCGAGCAATCCTCTTGTGACAGGTGAAACTTAATTTATCTGTTATCATGTACCATGATGATTATTCTTAAATAATTGATTTTGATATTACGTGCCAATGGTTTTGACTTATAGTTAGTATTAATACTATACTGTAATGAGTGAAAATATGAGTAGATCCTTATGATATTTTGTACTGATACTGACTTTGTACTGATTAGTTTTTCCTTAAGATATTTAAGTCATCTACGATTCGATTCATCATGATTGATATTATTCAATCATTCTTCTTTGGGAATAACCTTCGTTCTTTGAGTAAAATATTTCAACATTTCACCAGGTAAAATCTTGTCAAATTTCGAATGCGTCAAAGTGACCGTGCTCCGCAAACCTAGTGTTACTTTTTAATTTACTTGAAGTGGTACCATAAATATGAATGAAAATGTTATATTTTACACAAATTTAATAACCAAGAAAAAAAAACCTGGAAACCTCAGTCAGTTTTTCTTAGGCAATTACTTTTACTTTATCTAAAGTTATTCCATATACACAGGGTGTTCGGTAACTGGTGGTACAAGCGAAAAAGGGGGTGATTTTACATGAAAAAAGAAGTAAAATATAGTCGAAAATATAAGATAACAATTTTTCATCTGAGGCTTTATTTTCGAGAAAATTGCCTCGATTGAAGTTATGTTGATAAACACTTCCAATGGCATTTTCAATGGAAATGTTGTCTTACCTATTATCTTACTATTATTGTCTAAAATAATCGAATACGTTGGAAGCTGTTCATAGAAATTTAATTAGAATAGCAGAAGTATGTATTCGCAGAATGAACAACATTTTCAACAACGTCTGTAATATTAAACTTCATGATTACTTCAACATTCTATTTCATTACGTGTTCCTAATTTTTCGTTACGATAAAAACAAACTTAAACTGCGATAATAACCATCGAGACAATGATCTACAATGAGATTCGTTCTAACGAGACATGATCAACTGCACCCGTACCTGTCGAAAATTCAAAGTTGATTTTTTCCATAACAAAGCCTCGCACGAAAAATTTCTATTCTATATTTTCGACTTATTTTTTCATGTGGAATCCCCCTTTTCGCTTGTACTGCCAGTTAGCAAACACTCTGTATATATAAACCAAAGCATTATATTTTCTATCGATTTAATAATCAAGGAAGAAGACCCCCATAACTCTTGATCATTCTCCTTCCTTTATCATCACCACTAACTCCAGCCAAGATTGCTCAAACTCCCAAACAAACTCGAACCTTCGTCCATCTATAAGCAGTACACTTTTACGATTCGAATGAAAGAAGGCTTTAGTGTTCCGATGCTTAGACGATATATTTAAACTCGATACGGGTGGATAGTCTCACAGTAGAATAACATCTGTAGTACGATTAATGGAGAACGCTTCAGCAGCCTCGAGCTTGACACGTCGTTTAGTACTTTCCAATGTCACCGTCTGGATCGTTCACGTGGCCGTCGCGCTACAATTCTTCTCCACTGCCCTCGCGAACACGTCTCCGCGTTCTGATAACAGTGATTAAACTTTCAGTTGTTGTCCGCCACAGTGAGATCATGGCTGGGGCTCGTTACGAGCCAAATGGCAACATGGATCGTCTCGTTTCTGCGGTTCCTCAGGCTTCTATTCCTCACGTAGGATATAACCGGCGTCGCGATAACTCTCCCCGTAATCAAAGTACTGTTAAACGTTCCTCGGCGTGTCGTGAGTGTAAGATTTACGAGCGACCTTGAGAACGCCTCCTCCTGTCGACGGAAATCTCGTCGAGACCGTGCCTCACTAACCGAGTACCCGCTCGAGCTTCCGGAGCAGGCTTTTGTCTCGGCGATGGTTTCCCACTATCCTAAAACGGAGCTGTTTGAACGACCCTTTCAGGTGAAAAGATCCTCGGCCGCTTTGTTCGCCGAGAGATCGCGGATGAAGCTGGACCTGGCTAGGAGGTTAGTGAAGCCAGAGTTGAACATCGAGGAGAATGATCTCGACGCAACCACGGCCTCATCTTTCAGCAAACCGAAGTCAACGAGTGGCAAGCCACCTGTCGACGGAATCCTCAAGGTTGGCAAGTTCGCCAAGCCAGGTGCAGCGGAGCGCCGAGCCTCGATCGAGCACTCTAGGGAAGACGAGAGAGCCTCGAATCTCTCCAGACCGAGGAAAGGTCTCGAGGACTCGTTCAAGGTTACCAGACCGTCCGCCTCGAAGAAGGGGCGAGTGATATCCGAGAGAATGGTCACCTCGATCTCGGTCGAAGAGAGAGTTGAGGAGACCACGAAACCCTACGGGACGACCAGTCCCTCTGTTATCACCGTGGCCTCGGAAGAAACGGCGGCCACCACCCTCGACACCGCGAGGGTCCGTCTATCCGGTCTACGCGCTGCCAAGAAATCCAAGGAAGAATTCTACTCCCGCGAAAACACCGACTCAGTTACCACCGTCAAACCGAAGAAACCTTACGCCCACCAGCCACGAAACAGGAAGAATCACGAGCAACTCAGGTCATCGGAGCAATTCAGGTCATCCGAGGAAACCTCCGCGACGTCGACGAAACAGACGAGTAAACAGACAACGCAGAGAACGTCGCAGACGTCGCAAGAAGAGAATGTTATAAAGAAGTCCAAGTTTGGCAACGACGTTACCAAGCCCAGCTTCCGACCCCGTTACAGTAAGAAAACAAAAGATAATTCGATAGAGGATACGACGACGAAGTACCAGGCGGCTGGTACCACGAACTTACCGACGCCCACCAGCAGATATTCCAGGAAGAAGGCTGTGGTGAAGACTGTCGATGGTCTCAAGGTCACCACGACAGAGGGACCAGCGACCCTGACGAAGAAGATCGAGTTTCGACCCAGAACTGCGACTTACAGAAGACATTCCGAGGTTCCCACGACCTCGGTCGAGACCACCACCAAGGTCGATGGAGCTGGAGTCGCCATCACTCCTCGTTCGCCGAGATTCCAGGTCAACTCGATAACCACCTCTCCAGCCCCTCGATCGGTACCGCAGGAACCACAGATGAACCTGCAGATCGCGAACGATACCACGCAACAGGCGCCAGGTATTACCGGCAGCAGCAACGGCGACAGTGGTAACACCAACGTCTTCAATCCTGCCAGAAGCGCGGTTCTAGCTGGGAATTCAACGCTTCTGGAGCAACTGAGGAGCACCGTCGCACCGCTGCTGAGCTCGCTTGGTAACAAGACGCCCGTGTTCTCTGGATCCTACAGCAATGTTAACAACGCGGTAATTATTCGTCGTTATCTGTTTTATTTTTATTATTTTTCTGATGAACCATATATTGGAGTTGAGATAGAAATTGTATTGCTCCGTAAGAGTATAGTTTGGCAAATAGTAGGATACATTGTAAGTTGTCGTGGACAGGTTCTGTTGATTCATTGGATTAAATTATTTTTGTTTTAATTTAAATGAAGTTTTTAATGTGAAATAGTACAGACAATTGATATGAGAATGTGAATTATAAATATTGGTAGTTTAAGGTGATGCAATTTCTATAGGCAACTACTGAACCAATTGATGTTCTTGATTATTTCGTTATTTTTTGTGGGTTTTTTTTTTTAAATTATAAAATAGTTTCGGGCATGAGAATATATTATTTAGGGAGAGTACACATTTCTTTTAATCTTAACATATTACATTTTTGTATGGTGTGTACCGAATGGATACAAGTTTTTTACTTACACATGAGATTTAAGCATAACATTTAAATAGAAAAATTATTTGGGGTAGTCGACTACTTTCTAAAAATTATCTATACAATGTTAGAGAATTCCTTATTTTCACAAGATAGGCCCATCTAAGTAAATGAAATTAATCATAACGTTATCAATATTTCAGTAATATGATAGACAATTCTTCTTCCATAAACCTATTTTTTTATTTAGATGGACCTACAGGTTAATTGAATCGTTTGAAGTTTCCATAGCAGTATTTTATAAAATAATGAATCTTGGGACTAAAAGTATTTGACCTTGATTGACCTTGATTGACCTCTAATGACCTTGAGTGACAGGTCGTTGAACTCGTCCTACTTTGAACAGATCATTTTTTGATATATTCAACCTCTACCTCAGTCTTATGGAACTGTTCACTATTTCTTGAAGTTCATGACGATGATAATGCTGTCATTGTTTATATAAACACTTATTTGAATAACTATTCAGTTGAACAAGGTTTTATTTTAATGAAATTTGAATTCATGAGTCACAAACTCTACTTGTTCATAAAGACTAAAACAAGTTTATTATCGATGAAATATTTCCAATACTATCTCTGTGACAGTAAATAATTAATTTTTATTTAAGGAATTGAAGATTACTTTGAAACCTGAATAAGTTTTAATTATAATAAAACATTGCTTTTCTTTAAACTATTCAATATGTCTAACATTCATTAATTATTCTCTGAATTGACAATTTACGAATTCGCTAAATTATTTACGATAATTTGGTCCAACTTGCATAAATCAATGCTTATCTGTGAAAACTTGGAATCATTTTTAACATAACTCGTACTTACAGCTTAAAAATAAATGTTTTTAAATAAAACACAAAGGAACTAGAAAATACAGTTAGAATGTAAAGGGTCAATATTAATTATAGCATTATAATGTTAAGTGTTAGAGTTGACTGTCTAACTTTGATCATTTTGAAACAGATCGTATTGTACAATGTTTCTTTGTTTATCTGTCAACTTTAACACTTAATTTTTGAGTAATCAATAATATTATTCTGTGAACAGAATTCAGCCCCCAGAATCACCCCAAGTGGATCGCCACCGCGATTTAGCGCAAGATACAAGGGTGCGGAATTGTTTATCAGAAAGCAGAATAATGTTTACCAGGCTACCGTGCCATCGATCACTAGTTCGTCCACCACTCCAGTTACACCCGTAGAGGTAAGATTGTTGCAACATTTTTAAACGAATTATAACGGTTAAGTTCAATAATCAGACGGACAGTCTGAAAATATTCAAGTATTCATTTCTATATGTAGTACATTCATCAATTACTAATTGGTACTTAATTCAATACATTCAATGAATTCATAACTCACCAAGACAACAAAATTAACAATTAAAACCTTAGAGTAACAAATAAGTTTATTTTCCATAAATCCTACTGATCCGTCCGCTATTTTTCTTATAATATGTTCATATATGACGTTACACATAAGTATGAAACCTAATAAGAAACGTCAGTGTTTCATTTTCGCTTCCATAATTCTCTTCGAATGTTCCTTGTCCATAATTGAAGATCAGCAGAGGTATAGTGCAACACTGCTTTTACAGATATTTAAATATTAGATTATGTTTTTGTTAAGAGACGACTAAGTTCTTCTGTGATACAATTAAGTTAGTGACGTAAAAATGTATAATAGTACGAAGTATTTAAATCTCGTGTCGCGATTGAAAAATATATGTAGTAGTCAATTAGAAATGTATTTTAGTCTCATCAAGCAAACAATAAACGTTTCAAACTTTAAAGTTTCCATCCTCTGAGAACACTGAGAATACGTTATTAGCTTTTTTCCTTACTTTTATTTCGTTTAAGAATTAATTATCAAATTAAACTAGAATTGTAAAAGTTCCAGAGGATTCAGTCTTTAGAAGCTCACATGTTTATTGTTTGCTCCCTAAGAATAATAGACATATTCAATTTTTGTATCTAATCTAGCACTTGTCTTAGAATAGGAAAGAATTTTCCAAAAGGAGCTTTAAAATTTTAGTTTTCAATAAATCATACGACATTCAATTTCTTTTCTTCCAAATGAAAATGCACATGATTACAATTAAACAACGCCTACGTTGACAAGCATATTTTATCACTAAAAAGCTAAATCTGATAGCCCTTTTTGAAATGCCCATTATTAATCATTAGACTGTGGATATTTATGCACCTATGACAAATTTAAGTGTACAAAAATATATGAATACTTGTACAAATGTATAAATATATAAAATATGAAAAATAAATTACACGTTAAAACGTTTAGAAAAAGAAGCTACTTTAATTTGCGTTTCTCTTTTTCATCGGTACCTATAAAAGTATGAATTTGCATAAACATCCGCAGCCTATTAATTATTAATTTCAACCAGAAAATTGTCGAATATCATTAAAAGTTCTGAGATGTCGTCCGCCAGAGAAATGGATTGGAGGTAAGATTACGTGGCTGAAGAAAGTTGAAGCTAACAGTGAGTCAGTGTGGTCGTTTTTGTGTGCTTAAAAGGTTCTCACCGCGAAGATAACCGAGAAGATCGATGCCGTCACACAGCCATCGTGGACCGATCACATCGGTGTCGCCACAACAGCACCCGGAAATCTCGATTCTATTGACATCGAAACAAATACTCTGCGTTGATCCCAATAACCCCGATTACATCTCGTCAAACATGCTATCAATTATTAATCATCTCTCTTTCTTCCAATAATTAGCGATTAGCCGTTCCTGAAGGATTACTGTACTCTTTCGGACATATTTTACACATGTACATGATTTAAAGAAATATTAGGTGTGGAAATTAATTTAGTGCCTTTGTATTCAATAATTTATAATTGCAATTGGAACAGATATACTTACTCGCCATTTTGGTACATTGAAAGTGTCAATCTTGAAAGCTTTGGAGCAAGTTGCACAACCTGATGGCTGTTACATTTGAATTTTAATAATTTTTAAATATTGCTTATTATTATCCTTCTACAAGTATTACAATTATCAACTACATCTGTAATCTATTAGAAAAAGAATAGTATGTAAAATTGTATGGTTACCAAAATTTGTATTCATATTTATGACTTACTTAGGCAATATATAGATTCATTGTAACAGAGATCAAGTTGATAATGTAGAAGTTTGGTACTTCAACATAACATAATGACGAGTAAATATTTCCACTTGAACTAAAGCTATACGTAAATGATTGAATTGTAAACGCTCAGAATTGTCTTCCACACCTAATACTTAATTTCGCAGCAAATGTATAGTTACACATTCGGAATCGATACGAGAATCGATCGCAGAGTAAATCTCAGCATTGCGATCAATCCTTGTTCAAGAAACAGATTTTTATTATTGCAGCTCTGTAGTCAAAAGATAAAAAAAAAGTTTATAAATAACACGAGAAAATGAACAAAAAAAAGTATACAGCGTCATTAATAGTTTGTGATTAACGTTAACGTATAAATAGTTTGTGATTCGTGGTATTTTCATCTTGGGTTCGCATATACTAATGTGTACAGCTACTTATTTTATTACTGTCTTCATAATACGCACATTGTATTATACAAGATTATATATTTATATATACATAACTTTGGTAATAAATGTACTGGTTTTTGGATCGCACGCGACATGCTGTTCGTTCTTATTTAAACGCGTCCATGAATACTTTATAGATGGCGTCACAATTACTCAACTAACAATTAATTTGAACAATATGTACAAGAAATGTCAAATATCTTCTATATCGAAGAGCATGAGCCAATTCTCTAAAAAATGTCTTAAGATATCGTTCTGAAACGTTGAAAAGTATCACTTTGGTTTTAGCGTTTGTAAGATATTATAATATTAATTAATATATATTATCAAACACAGATGAAACTGTAACACATTCACAAAATTTTCATGTGTTAAGTATATTGTAAGTTGATAACTCGCTTCTACTTTTAATATATGTTTGTGTTATTATTAGACTGAGGATGTTTATGCAAATTTATGTATTCGGAAATGCAGATGACGAAATTGAAAAGACTTTCCTTTAAAGTCTTGTCTTCTAAACGTTATAATATGTACGTTGTTGTTAATATTTTATATTAGGGTGCTTCATAAATAACTTCTGCTACAGGTAGCAATTTTTAATTTGCCTGTTAAATGAGAACAGATAGTAATCAACGACAGTGATTACAAAATTGATGAAAGTTTATAATGTATTAACATATTTGGAAATAAATTGTAAATTGACAGATTGAAGTTATTTATGAATCAACCCTGAATAGTTTTCAAATTTGTGCACATTGGCATATTTTTATTTACCATAAATGCACAAACATCCACAGGCTGGTTATTATAATATCTATCAAATTGTGAGAATTGAATAAAAGTAACGTGACCATGCCTGAATGAGATTTGAATTTTTCATTTGAATTTAACGTAACGACACTTCACTTTTCTAGTGGAGGCGCATTCCGATAGCACGGTTGCATTTTCGTGATCGGTTCGTTTCACGGTATTGCGGGCGGTAACGAGTGAAAGTAAATGGATGCTGCGTAATGTGTGTCCATTAAGATAGTCTTAAAGTTATCTGGAACATGTGGGTGGATCGAGATCGTTGCAAATGAATCAGAAAAAGTATGTGATTTAAAGTCGTGAATGTACCTTTTGACCTCGACCTATTATTCAGAGATTAAATTTTTAAATTAGTATTTAAAAGCATTTACGTCGCTGAAAATTGATTCTTCTATTAGAATTTTGCAATTTGAATTCTTTGATCGGATTAAAAGATTCAGAAATACTTGATAGTATATAACTATCGCAAATTAAAATTTTGATAATTTAATGAAAGATGAATATTGCCGTCAATGGAAACCGCATCTTAATGTTTTTCTAATTCTATTCTCTTATGAAACCTATCGCTGGAGACCTCTGTGAGAGAGGATTAACAAGCTATGAGAAATCCCGATTAAAAGGAAAAAATTCAAAGTGAGCGGCAACCAGTCTCGATCGCCCATATCAACGATCCCTCGATCGAGGAACGAGTTTCTAGCTCGCTAGTTACCAGTATTTCTTGGTATATTAGACCAGCCTCAGTTTCTTCTCTTCTTTAGGTAGTTCGTATATCCACCAAGAGATGGTGTATGCTCACTCGATTACGAGTTCGATTGACCACCGCGAGAAATCAATCGAATTAACAAGAAATCGTTATACTTAAGAGTAATTAACGCCATTAATGCATTCATGAAAGTGTTTAAAACTGTTTAAAAGGACGAGAACGAACACAAATTATTACTTATTGTTTTAGTGTACATACACTAATTATTGGATGTTATTGCACCGACGACCGAGAATGAGATTTGAATTTTTTCATTTAAATTTAACGTAACGACACTTGATCTTTCAGTAGAGAACAAACAGAATATAGGACGTTCAGAAATTAACTCTGTGTCTTCACATGCAGTCATTTATAACTCTATAGAGAGCCTTAGGCCACTTATAGTACATTACATTTTTTACATTTTTATCGCTAAAGAAAGGGTACAAATTTTGATCTAGTCTAAGTATTTTATTTTACCAATATTATTGTACAGTGTTCTCTACGAAATTTGATTCAAACGAGTAAAAATTCAAAGGAGAATTTAATATTTAATATTCCTTTTACATTCGTGATAACGTCGACTTTCACATCATTTTTTAATTATTTTAAAATCTAAAACCGTCTACAAATATTATTTTTCGCTTCATCGTTGAGAGAAATGGTTTCAAAAAAGTGGTCCTTGAATTACATCGTAATTAAATTGTAATTAAATTAAATCATAATTGTAGCGCAATTGAATTATATCATAAGTCATTCGTAATTGAATGAGATTACAGTTACATCGTAATTACATCGTAATTCAATTAGCCCAAGTGTATTCTTTAATCTAGGTTTATACACGATTGACTTTAAAGTAACAGAATTAATTTCTACATCCAAATTCATTGTTTTAGTGTAAATACACCGATCGGCAGGTGTCAGTGCACCGACGACGTAGAAAACCGTACAAAGTCACACTGTTTTTACCACCAGGCACCGTTTTGATGTACAGCACCCCCTGCACGCACATAAATTTTTGATTTTAGAACTCCGGTGCCGTACCACCTATCGACGTCTCGAGTCCTGGCGAACCACGATTCTTGACTATTTATCAGGCGTTGGAGTCGGCTAACATCAGGAACGAACGGTTATTGGGAAACGCAAGCTTGCTAGGAGAAGAACGAGTTGGCGTGGCCCCCCAGGTAGACTCTAACGCCACTGTCGCTAACGGAACCAGCAACAATCCTAACAATGACACCACAAGCCCAACCATGAGCCCACAGACCCCAGACACAACCACTATTCAGGATAGCACATTGAACCCGCAATTATCCGAGGAAACGGAAAACTCCACCTCCGTGGTTAACACAGGAGCCCCCGAAAACCCTTCGACGGAGATTTCCGCCCCCGTGGTTACCACAGGAGCCCCCGAAAACCCTCCAGCGATCGAACAAGCTTCCACGAGTACAGAACAACCCTCCACTACCGAACAAGCATCCATGAGCACAGTATCATCCACCAGTACCGAACAGGTTCTCACAAGTACCGAATCATCATCCTCCACTACCGAACAGGTCACCACCACTACGGTATCATCATCCACTACCGAACAAACATCCACAACCACCGGTTCGACGTCCACGCCCGAACAACAAGCCAGTACAGAATCACTCCCGAGTAACACAGATACGACAACAACCAGCACCGAGCCTCCCCTAGGCTTTCGGGTTTTCGA